TATTTCTGTCTAGCTTTTGGTCTCTCCTGCTTGGATTGTAAACTGATATGTAGGTAAAACTTGCCAGTGTGTCCACTTGCATCATTTACTACAGTGGGGTCTGTTTTGCTCCCATTTCTCAGAGCTGGCATAGGACTTCCTAGATTTTGGCCTCTGTTAGACTACTGCTTTTCTACTGGGGAAGGAGCAGAAAACATGCGAGCACGTTACTTCCAGTTAGATTGTGTTGCTGTATATAATTACTAACACAGGGCTTTCTTTTGCAGGTTTTTGATGATTGCCATGAAGGTGGTGAGATTTCGCCATCAAACTGTATTTATATGACAGAGTGGCTGGAGTTTTAAAGTGAAGGAAAACTGTAAACTGGATTCATGCTTCACAGCCGAGGTGACAAAGCAGCTTGCTTTTTTAAAAGTGGACCTCTAAATTTATGAGCAACTTCAGGACATGGAGTGGTTTTGTTTTTAATGAAACATGAAGCAGCAACGTATCAGCTGTGTGAGCAGTTCTGTGAGTGGACTGGAAATCGAGTCAGCATTGAAGATCAAGGCTGAAGTGGAAATGTAGATCCATTCTTGTACCAAAAATCGGTTGTGTGACTTGAAAACTGCCATGGAACAGCTGGGTGGTGATGCATCGCTTCCAAGGATTGTGTCAAGTACTCCACAGATGCTTATTCTGAATGAGAGAAAATAAGTCATTAGCTGATCAGAAAAACTTGCTAATGAGTGTTGCCAAGAATGAGATTCCAAACTTTGCTTTTCAGACTAATGCTACTGGTGGGTGCTTAAGTGCTAAAGCTGACGCTTTTCTCCCACGACAGCTACCATCTAATTGAAGACTAAGAATCTGATGTGGGAAAGATCCTAAATAGGTCAAACGGAACTCACTGATTCTTTATTATCTTTCTTACCTGCTAATTTATCATTAAAACCCTGATTTTTCTCATGTACATCTGTGTTTCATTTTGTCCATTGCTGCCATTGCCTGGTGATGCATCTGTTGTATTTATTCCTTCATCTGACAGCTACAAGATCATCATCAAATGTGTCGGTGTGTTCTGGCTGCTGCATCATGTACATGGATAGGTCAGCTGAAATTTTGAGTAGAAGTATTCTGAGAAGATGTGTTTTCCAGAATAGAAAAAGAGTTCCTCTGGCCTGATGGTACAGGGGATATTTTTATAGATTATCTGAATACCCTCAGGGATGAAAAAGATGCCAATGACAGTTGTTTGGACATAAATATGGCCTCTGGCCTTGGTTTGTGATCTGAGAAAGGCATGATACTGGCATATCATCAAAAACCACAATCTTCTCTTCTTGTGATGTGGAGCCAATTTGTGTTTCTCTTAAGTGTGACCTCTCTGGCTCCTTCTCTGTGTGACTCTGGACTGATGAATTGGCAATAGCTATAGACTGGGGCGTTGCCATCAGCCTCATGGCCAGGGTATGCTGGGCCACGGACCTCTTAAGAGAGAGCTGTGTGTGGTTTCCTCTGGCTATCGATGTCCATCTGGCAGTATTAGGGGGTGATACTATCTTTGGAAAATGTAGGTTCAAATCCCACTTGGGAAGTAAACAGATTTTTCGTACCAACTATGTTATGCTAATTAGTTACTCAACCTCTTCCTTAACCCATAATCAAGCAACCTCTAGTGAAGAAACGTCAGCTCCTTTTTCATCAGTGAGAATATTGTGCATATGTGGTACGGCCAGCTCTCCACCATCCAGCATAACAGAGGGCTGGAATGAAGTCCTCAGCAGGCAGGGTAGTGTAGACACATGAACCAGTACAACTTGCTACCTGTGGCTTAGCATTGCTGCGCCCAGGCTGGATCTCTACACAGCTACTCAGTATCTTCACGATAGCCTCCCAGCACTGAGAAACAACTAGCGGGTCAAGCACAACGCTGGACCTGTTGCATCTAGCTGTTTTCAAAATTCCCTGTCTGAAAATAAGCCCTCCTGGACACCGGTTGGGAGGCCAATGGTCAAGCACCTCTACAACTGGGTTATCAGCGTGCCAGGTAATCTGACCATGAGTAGTAAACAGTGGGCTAACAGAGAAAGATTTTGGAAGACAGTTTATCTGATAAGGGTAGGAGACTTTACATCAGCTATTTCAATACTGTCCAGAAGTTTGCACCTTCTAAAAGCAGTCTGGATCCCATAGAAGTGTTCAAATCTTGCTCAATTCCTGTTTTCCTACTTACAGCGTGGGTTGTAGACAGAAGGCTAATGGTGGTAAGTGCTGTACAAAGAATAATAATTAAAAAAAAAAAAAAGGTTCCTGTCCCGTACAGGGACCATATAGATACAGAGGCAAAGGCTCCTTGTTTGCGAGTAGGCATGCTGTCTCCGGCTGGAGCAAGCGACTAGTACTGATAAGCTGGCGTGTCCATGGAAGGAGTTTGATTGTATTAGCTAGTGTGAGCACCCACAGCCGGCCTGCTCTTTTGTTGCAGTGTTTGAGGTGGGGTTTTGACAGGGATGCATATCTCTACAGAGGCAGAAGAGCTCTTACAAAAGAGATGTGGGGGTGAAATGATCAGATGTTTGTTCTTTCTCTTGCCCCTTTAACCACTCAGCACACTGAAGCCTGAGGAAAACGCTGCTCACTTCACTGGAGGGAGCCTTAACCTCAACTTCAGACATCCGTTATGTGGCCAAAGGTAACTTCATTCAGGTGTGGGCTGGGGTTGCCTTTGTCTCCCTGTGTTCAAAGAGGACCTAACACAATGGGGTCCTGAATCCTGCTGCTGCAGAGATAACGCGTTGTTTGTGCTCTACTGCAGCTGGAAGATAGCTTTCAGGGAAACAACATGTCTTTATCATGCAGGTATGTCACTTTATGCAGTATGACCTTATTCACTGGCAATAAGAAAAAGGAGAGAGAGCTTGTCATCAGTGAACAACTTAAGGAAGTAGAGGGCTGGTTAAGCTCTCTAAATTCTGGCTCATTTGTGTTGGGTTTACCTGGTTTAGATGACCTTTATGGTCTCTGAAGCTTCTTTGTGTTGCCACTGTAACAAGACTTCTCAAATTTGGAAAAAAAACATGCCTATAGAGAAAAGTAAAGCGATTTCACTTTCCTATCTGTAAAATAGGAATCTCTCTGATCTATTTCTAAATGAATTAGAGGAATGATCTTTCTGTCACTCTGGTTCTTCATGAACCTGGCTAATCTATCAGCCTGTAATTCTTTTTAAAAAAGGGAGTAAATGCAGAAGGATAACATTAATATTCTAGTCTTTTTTTCCTCCCTGAGTTCCTTCAGTCTTCTCTTCTACCTAGCAAAGCTGTCTCCTTTACAAACTGGTATGAAATGTAACGTTTTGAGGAAGCTGTAATACTAGCTCCAGTACTGAATATGAAAACACATACGTGTAGCAAGCTGAGAGCTAAAGTTAACCCTCAAAACATGGATGACCACTTGGGAGCATGATCCGCTCATTTCTTTATGCGAGCCTCATACAAGAGGTCACAGTTCAGCTGCTGCAGGGCCACGGGGAACCTCCTGGGTCGGAGGGCTCAGCCCAGTTACGGTGAGCTCTGGGGTGTGCAGACCCTGCTGTGAACATACCAGGCTGTTCTGAGAGGTTTCCTCACTAGCGGTAACCGACTGTACAAAAGCAAGTTCGAGGGTGGTCATACCCAAATGCCATTTTCACATGGAATCAAGTGCAAGATTGCTTCTTATTTCCAAGAGAAACATTAACTACAGTACCAGGCTGTATTGTGACCTGAGGGAGAGTACAGCTAGCAGGTACTGTTTAACATGTCTAGCCTTTGCAGTCCAAAGTTTAAAACATTAACATTAATGGCAAACTTCAGGCTTTGATAATGAAAACATTTACCCCGTGGCTGAGTGGCTGTCCGTTTTTTCCTGGTTTTGTTTTTTTCATTTGCTCCGATTATAACTCTCGCCCCCGTTGGAGGTGTTAAGTGTGATGGTTGTTCATCTGGTGCTGTTCGAGTGCCATCTTCTGTCTTGTCCTGGTATGGCTACCCTAGGGCTCAGGAAAGAAGAGAGACCGCTCTTAAACCCCGCTCTGGTTTCCTGTTTTGCCTCCACGTGCAGAGCAGTTTTTGGGAACAAAAATAGACACCTCAAACAGGGCTGTCCTCCACCACACATAGACCACCTTCCCCTCTTGCTTCACGTGGCTGGGACTTTCTGTCACTTCATCTGAGAAATGGGTAGCCAGGCCCTCGCCTGCGCTGAGCCCAGCTTAGCCTGCGGCCTGTAGGGGACAAAAAGGTACTGTGAGAAGCTCCACGGATGGTGTCCAAGTTTTTGTTGAAAATGTTCACTTCCTTCCTGAGAAAGTTAATTATTGCACTTCGCACACTCTTCAGGAGATCCTGGGGGGAGTGGGGAGGAGGGGAAGCGGAGCTCAAAGCATTCTCCTATTTCAGTTGTTAAACACAAAACAAGTCGGGGCTTATGTAGGTAGCCTCTGTTTTTCCCCCCTCTCTCACTTTTTGAGCAAGCTTGTGATTATTCCAGGAAAATGGAAGAATGGGAAAGCTTTTACTTTAGTTATTTGGTCTAGAAACACAAGGCTTTAGGATTTTGCTCCTCTTGCAAACTCACAATAGTTGCTCGAAGTTTTAATTAATCTAATGCTAGCAGGGTGGGTGCAGCATGGCCTTGAAGCCCTGGGTCCCAGTGAGGCACTGTGCTTTGCTTTTGAGACATGGTGATGTGAGGAAGATGTAAAATGAAGGATAAACTAGCAACTCCAGAAGAGCAGATCTGCTTTGCCTTTACTGATACTGCTTGGAGAGCAAGTCCTGGGTCTGAGGACGTTAAAAATAGTAATTTGAATTTTGTACACTTTAGCATATAAGCACAGGTAGCATTCTTCTACTTTTTTATTCCCACTGAATTTGTGATCTTTCTGCTCGTGTTCAGATTTTACACAAGCAAATGTAACCCCTGCAGAGCACACAACTTGCCTTATGTTAGGAAGCTGGGGAAGTCAATATTAATGTTCAGCTCATACAGCATCTCGTTTTGCTTTGTTTTGGACCTGAAAAATTGCTCTCCACTGTTAGATGCTTCAGTAGAAAATACACCTTTTCTGCCCTGGGAAGAAGGAATGAATGGCTTTTGGTTAAAGCAGTTTCCTCAAGCATTCCCTGGATAATGCCAATCTCCCTGTGGAATTCATTGCTCTGAAAATGGCCCCTATCTGTCTACTTATGCAGTTCTGCTCCATATCTGTCAGCCAATTCCTTCTGTCCTTTCCAGGGAAGGGAAGAAGGACTGCCAATGGATCCAAACTCTACAATAGCCCCATGACAGTTTTGCTGGATCTTCTTCCACTGCCAGGTCTGTTGGAGTATCTTGAAGGGCACAGAGAACAGTTGAAAACCTTGTCCTTCTCTCAATGGTTTAACTTCTTGCTATTTCTAGTGTAAACAAACTCTTAGCACGGACTGTGCTGGGAGCTGGGAGCAGTCACAGATTTTTACAGGTGCTTGAAGGCTGAGAAGAGATTGCCCTTTTTTTTTTTTTTTATAGCCAAGCATTCCATCGTAGGCCGTGCACTAACATTTAAAACATATTTATATTCCTAATCACTTATTATATATCAAAGTTGGCCACATCTCCTATGCATGGTTTTACCAAAACCTTCATATAGCTAAGAAAAGCGTAAGATGTGTCCCATATAGCTCATAAAGTAGAAAGAAAGAACATCACCCTGTGGTTGGTCACAACAGAGAGCCTCTACAGGCAATCTAAGCTCCACAGTCTGGCCAGCTTTTATGTTTCTTGTGCCAGTTAACTGGTAGGAGGCAATGCCACCTGTATCAGTAGATGTCCATACCACTGACTCTCTTGGTTTTTTTCATCTGCCATATCAGAGGTGTAGGCAGACACCAACATGGTAACTGTGTGAGTTTTGACATACCTGAGAAAAATGGGAGCCTGGTGATCAAACCTGCATGGAGGACCACACTGCTGCACAGCATTTTAATCATGTTGCTCCTGTTGTTTTAAGCTGAGTTGTTAGCAAGCAACTTCAGAATGAACTTCAGGCTTTCTTCTAATCAAGAAGAATATGAAATATTCAAAACATAGATTTCTGTTGCATTTAAAAGAGATAAAACACAAAAACCCCAAAGCTTGACAGTGCATGGGTATTGTGGTTTAACCTCAGCTGGCAACTGCGCAATACACAGCCACTCGCTCATTCCCCCCTCCACCCCGGTGGGATGGGGGAGAGAATCGGAAGAATAAAAGTGAGAAAACTCGCGGGTTGAGATAAGAACAGTTTAATAATGGAAATAAAATAAAATAGTAATAATAATAACAACAATAATAATAAAAGAATATACAAAGCAAGTGATGCACAATGCAATTGTGCTCACCACCTACCAGCCGTTGCCCAGCCAGTCCCTGAGCAGCGGCCACCCCCGCA